TGTTCATACAACTCGAATAGCGAGTCAATATGATGGTCAATGCTAATTTGATGTTGATGGTGGAACATTACCAGTGGCCAGTCCCAAGCATCACTCCTTCATGCTGAAAAGACAAACACCAGGTAATTATAGTAGAGATTGCTGTGATTGAAGAGGACTGGGAAACAATTCTTTATAAAATGTCAGTAGTAACTTTTCATCTTTGTTATATATAAACTCAGTGGTTGATGACGTTTTATGACGAGAAGGGCTTTAGTAATACAAGCATATTTTTCAATTACTGACGTCACCTTGTTTCAATGGAATAACAAAAAAAAAAACGTCTGATTGAAAATTGGAATGGTAAAATTTGATACTATGAGTGTCCCTGATACACATAAATATTTTAGAAAACCTAAACACAAACTAGGAAATCTTGGCTGAATTTCTTGTTTTTAAAATGAGGTGATATAAATAAAAGAACTTTATGTTAACACTTATCTTATTTTGTGTAGATTGTGAGAAGTACGTTCTGCCAATAAATGCAATGTGGGAACAGACATGTGACGAAAATAAACGATTCAAGTGCAAAAAAGGATATGAATCAAAAGTTCTGACCACCTGTGAAAACGGTGGCTGGATTTTGGAACCAACTTGTGAAGGTATGCATATTAAGGGGGTGGGCCGTCCCGTCAACACGAGTAAACATGGAAGAAAGAAATTCCCATATAAAAGTGCCACCATATTACAAAAACATGATCGAATTCGATTTGACTCAGACTCGACATACGCACGAATCATAATTACGTCATTTCTCAATAAACTCTAGCTCTACCACAGAGTTTCAATCGAAATCACCCAAAGAAATTTGCCACCATAGGTTTATAACTAGAGATAGGAGATTAAAAAAACTGAAATTTTGGGAAAAGGAGATAGGGTATTTCTTTCTGAAATAAAGTCAAGCATTGGGCTAAGGTATCTATTTCAAAAATAATAAGTCATTGCCTGATATTTATCGGTTGTACTAAATAATTAATTGTATCGTACTTTACCTTGCCTGTCAAAAATAGATGTAGAATTATTTCACCATCTCTACCCCGTCATCCTACTGATACAAGGTGAAACTATCACTCTCTGATGAAGTAACGAAATCAACTATTGCAGGAGGATGTTTTAATTTTAGCTGTTTAGCTGGCTTCACTGAGTCTGGTACTCTGAAGTGTGAGAAAAATGGTACCTGGACAGAGCAGCAAGCTTGTCAAGGTAACTGTGTTGGTTTTTGTATTGGGTATGGACGGACGGGGATATTTCTCTACCTTTATGGACGATTTACAACAAAAACAGATTTGATATAAAAATATGGACAATCTTGTTGGTCGAGAAGAACCTTCAATTCATTTAGTGAAATATATAGGCAAAAACAAAATAAAAACAAATAAATAAATATATATATTTATAGGCAGATTCGGTTACAATTACAAACATAAAGTATTTATCAATAAGGGGCATGTTGTATTTGGAACTACTTGAACTATAGTTGGACGGACGAAACATAGAATCGTGTAAATATTTGGAAGCTACTAAGGCCAGAAAATCTATTTTGAATCTCATGTACAAGTTCAATATGTTTACAATAATATTGACAATTGTTTCTTAAGATGGGTTTATTCTAATGAATTATCATGTATTCTTAATCATATGATATGTTCCTATTGCATTTGAATAAGAGTTTAACCAATCATAAATTTCCATGTATATACAGTCTGGATAAACCAAAAAAGACTTTTTGACCTTTCTTAATCGGTCGCTTTTTGGAATTCTGCTGGTAATTATCTTCTAATTCAGCTAATTATGAATTTATTATGGAGACAAAATGGTCATTAGAAGACCTCTACTTTCTATTCATATAATTATTAGCATTTTCATTTTCATAAATGAAAATAGGGGAACCCAATCTAACACATCCTGAGTGATGTCACAGTGACCAAGGAACGAACAAACTAGTCTGTCCTCTAAAAGTGGGATATGGCGGTTGTGACGCAATATAGGGTATGCTTACACTTCCAGACTTCCTTCTGTGGTTAAAAACCTTTAACCACTTTTTATTATGAAACACTTACACAATGGTTAATATACTTCATCATGTGAAAAGTTCATTGGCTCCTACCAATTTTCAGGTTTCGGATCGTTAGCAATTGGTTCATTCATTAGTTACAATAAGAATACGATTTTCTTTTCAGTGGTACTTAGAAAATTCTTGTTTATGGGTATAATTCCTGGTGATCATTTTGGAGACAATTGTACAGAAGAATGTGCTAAAGATCCTCGATGTGGTTTTAGTACAGTACATGTGATTCCAGGTCAATGCCATTTCTATACAAAACCAATCATCCATTGGGATCAAATCACTCCAAGTCTTTCCCAATGCATCCAGAAATGTCATCAGTTTTGGAAATATTGCACTTTATTGAATGCCAACTACAACACGGTAGCTAATACGGATTTTATTGTTATTAATTCAAATAACCTTGGGGCCATTGTAGAAAAATCTGATTTTGAATTCGTCAATGTATTATAAGTTCACGTGGGTCCGACTATTGAGATTAAACGGACGATTTACATTAAATCTTTATAGTTAAAAGTTTTAATATTTGTCTTTTCTTTTTAAATATTTGGGGTATGACAGGGTTTGTAACAGCCATTTTCCATAATTCCAAATACTTTTAATTGAAAGCTACTTTATGGTCGTAAGAGAATTATAAAATTTCCCCCATTGCGCGGCATTGTAGTCTTAATAATTGTCCAGTCATGAGAAGAAAAGTACGACTTTCATAATATCTGTGTACGTATACAGTTATATCAGGTATAATACTGAGCCCGTAAAGGAATTAGCAAAGTTCACAATGGGTACCTGAAAGGTCTACAAAAATATCGTTATTTGATAATCAGCAGATAATGTGAGTACTCAACCGTACCATGATTTCACGGCCTGTAGCAAATCATTAATTGTAGTCTGAATCTCAATATGCTAGTCTCCCCTAAATGAAATTCTGCATTAGAGAGTTATAGAAAGTATATCATGATTATAATGGCCGAATACATATTAAAATCTCTCAGCATATAGTTACATCTGTCGATACTCCTTAGATGGGCCTGACATCAACTGAATCTAGTTTGAATCAGATTACAATTTCCTATCTCTTGTTTTCTGATAAATTAAACCAATCAAAGTTGGATAGAGAAAACCATATTGCTTTTCTTAGATTTATCTCCAATCATACCTTAGGCCCAGAAACGAGAAACTATTTTAGCAAAGCTAATCAGTAATAGTGTTCACGGCTCACCGTCGGAAATATGAGCTTTCAAATCCAGAATTATCTTTCCTTGTTATTCCAGTCTACCCAACTGTAATTAAGTACTATATAAGGCACATTTCTTTACATATCCAGTTGACCCAAATGTAAATAGTTACGGATAATCATTAAATCAGAAAGGGTTTTGCATTATCAGGTCTCCAAGAATCTTGGCAAAGGACCAACTGATAACTTTGCACCAAAGGTCACCTTGCAGAAAAGCTAGAGATGATCAAACTGTAAGAACACCTAACCTTAAAACGCGCGTGATCACCAGCTGTCAGGTAATATACCAGGATGAAATTAATTAAAAATAGACAAACATGTTTTCTGTTTCCGCTCAATCGATGTAGGGTATTCCCGTCCCGCAGATCTTCTTGTTTTATTTGGTGATCAGAAAGGTTTATTATTGATTTGTATAGATCATTTTGCTGTAAAACTTTCTCTTCATTTCCCATAGTACTGTTAGTCTTAATCTTTGCCTTGAAACAAATATAAACATAAGCACAAATTTTTTTTACAGATGAAAATTTTCAGCAAAAGTTTAAGACATTTTGGTTGAAATTTCTTGGAGAAAAATTTGTTTTTTTTTTTAATGTAAACTAAAAATTATATTTTTATCAACGCAACGACATTCTGAGACTAACAGTATTATTTTGATTCTGATATTCCATTTCTCTTACAAAATGAAGACAAAATTTAAAAAACCTTTTGGTTTTGATCAGAAAATGTAGGGGCTTCGTCTTTGAATGGCCTTTCCACCACATGGGATGTCAGTCGCTGATCAGTTCTTAAAACCTAAAAGAAAAAAGAAAAAGTATTTCTATTCATTTTACACCTAAATGTGTTAGATTGACATCTCAGAACCTCACTGGCACCAAACTGTCTATTTACAATTCCACAGGACACCTTCGGATAAACATGGATAGGTAGAGCTTGGGTTTTTAACCACAGTAGGATATTTCTACTTATCTAGAAACTGTAAGGCATAAAAAGATCTGAAGCCACCATGAGGTTCGGTTCCGATAATTCCATCTTTAATCTGTTCCACCCTCATCACTAACAGTTGTAACACAGTTGAACATTATAATTCCATTATATTAGATATTTTGCGAAATTTGCAGCTTTATAAAGTTGGTTCTCTACCAGTTCCGTAGAAAAATCTCCGCAACCCCAAATCTATTGGAAAATAATTGTAAATTGTAAATAATTGGCCATGTAGAGGCTTCGACCTTTACTGTTCATTAGAACTGGAAACTTTTGCGACATTCACTGGTCTGAATAGATTTGATGAGATTTCTGCCAATTCCATTTAAAATGCCCCCGTGTTTGACTGGTCATTAACACAGTTAAAAATGAATATGCCATTATATTGAAACCTGTTGCGATATCAACAGGTCTGAAGATACCACGGGGTGGGGTTTTTGCCAATTCCAACAGCCCCAACCACATCACTGTCTATTGTGAAAATTGGTCATGTAGGTGCTTCGTATTTGATTTGCCAGTCCGTCAAATAGATTGAGGTGTAAATGTTGGAAGATAGATTGAGGTGTAAATGTTGGAGTTGACCAAACTGTGACCCCAAAGCCAACAGATGTTATGAAAGATGCAATCAATTAAAAATTATATCTACAATGTAACCTGATCCGGTCTTTTTACTTTTACTCCCTAATTTGATGAGAGGTGAATGCCTGTAACACATGATTGGTCAGTAGGAGAGATATGGAAGATAGATTGAGGTGTAAATGTTGGAAGATAGATTGAGGTGTAAATGTTGGAAGATACATTGAGGTGTAAATGTTGGAAGATACATTGAGGTGTAAATGTTGGAAGATACATTGAGGTGTAAATGTTGGAAGATACATTGAGGTGTAAATGTTGGAAGATACATTGAGGTGTAAATGTTGGAAGATATATTGAGGTGTAAATGTTGGAAGATAGATTGAGGTGTAAATGTTGGAAGATAGATTGAGGTGTAAATGTTGGAAGATACATTGACGTGTAAATAGATTGAGGTGTAAATGTTGGAAGATAGATTGAGGTGTAAATGTTGGAAGATAGATTGAGGTGTAAATGTTGGAAGATAGATTGAGGTGTAAATGTTGGAAGATAGATTGAGGTGTAAATGTTGGAAGATAGATTGAGGTGTAAATGTTGGAAGATAGATTGAGGTGTAAATGTTGGAAGATAGATTGAGGTGTAAATGTTGGAAGATAGATTGAGGTGTAAATGTTGGAAGATAGATTGGGGTGTAAATGTTGGAAGATAGATTGGGGTGTAAATGTTGGAAGATAGATTGAGGTGTAAATGTTGGAAGATACATTGAGGTGTAAATGTTGGAAGATAGATTGAGGTGTAAATGTTGGAAGATACATTGAGGTGTAAATGTTGGAAGATAGATTGAGGTGTAAATATTGGAAGATACATTGAGGTGTAAATGTTGGAAGATAGATTGAAGTGTAAATGTTGGAAGATAGATTGAGGTGTAAAATCTTGGAAGATAGATTGAGGTGTAAATGTTGGAAGATAGATTGAGGTGTAAATAATAGAGTTGACCAAACTGTGTTAGTGTTGAGTTGAGTCGCTGTTCTATAGACAGCAAGACATAATAGACTATTAATTAAATACTTTTATTTTCACCTACAAATAGTATGATAGTGGAATATTAAAGACAAGCACCCATCGTAGAAGTCCCAATATTAATTGCAATAATCCATTTATACCTTATCAACTCATTCAAGTGTCATAGTTGGTAATTCTTCTTTAATCTGTTATAATCCTTTTAATAATTTAATTGTCGATTGTTGTACTAAATCTACATTTGAATCTGTTGTATGTTTCCATGGTCGATTGTTAATCAATTAATGTCATTGTAAAAGTTTATTATAAATACTGAATGTTATGTTATATGGAACTAGTCTTCCATTTTATAACCAAATCTGTCTTGAACAGATACTCAAAGTTTCTTAACACTTTTTAATTATATCCAATCAATTTAACAAGTTTCGTTGCAGAAAAATAAGAGAACATCCTTCCCCCTTTTGTTGAAAGCTTCCCCCCCCCCTTTTTCCTCCCTCTTTTCTCACTTCCTTTTTTTTCTTTTTTTCAGGTCTTCTAGTTTTCCAACAGATAACAGATAATCTAACCAAACCAAACCAACGACTACCAATCAACAAGAAATACCATGATCAGAACGAGTTTGGAAGAATGAAGGAGATCGAGTAACTCACGCCACACCATCCAGGGCCGAGTTTCACCGCCATGTCATTCGACCCGACCAGATCTAACGAAGAATCAACAACCAAACCAACAACACAGAATCATCCAATTTGATCCAATCCAACTACCAACTACTACGACTACCAACAACTACCTATTTGCGATATTAGCATCCGCTGGAAGCGAACGTTAACTTGTCATCTACCTACCTACCTTATATGGGGCATCGTGGATTGACCAGATCACCTATACAGACGGACAACGCCGATGTATTGTGAATATTGTAACCAGTTATCATATTAAACAGTTTTAATTCTTTTCATAGTATTAGTGTAAATTCTCACTACTACAATAGTACAAATAGACGTTAATATAAATGTGGAAAATATGTCGTATATGAGCCACCGTGCGTTACCAGCAGCTGGGCATATACCAGGATGAAATTTATTAAATAATATCCACATCATGTTTACTGTTTTCGCTCAATCGATGCAGTGACTCGACCAACTCTTTCTCGGATTTTCTATAAAAACTCACACAATCTCCACTGTTCATACAACTCGAATATCGAATCAATATGATGATCAATGCTAATTTGATGTTGATGGTGGTCTTGCTGTGGGCTGGAACATTACCAGTGGCCAGTCCCAAGCGTCAACCCAATATGTTGAAAAGGTTTGGGGAAAAATTTGGCAAGTATAGTAGAAATTGCTGGGATTGAAGAGGACTGGGAAACAAATTCCATTGTATAACATGGGGTTCTGTAGCACAGTCGGTTAGACTGTTGTTTCTTTACATGACGTTACATGCTCGGTAGTCGTGGGTTCCAATCTCGGTCGGCGTGTACAATTTTTTCTATTTTACAGTGATTGTATGAAGAGATATTATAAATATTTGTTTCTTAACAATATAAAAATATAATGATCCCTTTCAGTGAACACATTGATGTCTGTGCTCAGGGAATAACCCCCAACGTAATGGTCTTTCCTTTCTACCATAATAGCTTACTACTGGGAATAAAAGAAAAATATTCCATTGAGAAACTAAAGCCTAAATTAAACAGTTTGATCTTCATTCCATTAGTGTAAATCCATCATAATATCACATTTCCCATAGACAATATCATGGCGTCATATTGTTGTGTATTGTATTGTTACTATGCCTTGAAAAAATGAAATTGAAACATGTTGAAATATAATGGAAATATATCTTTTTACGGTGTTTTTGATCTACTATAACTAATATATATACATATATGAGTGTGTAAATTTTGGATCTGAGATTCAAAATGTCAATAAACCTGTTACTGTCAAACACACTAATCTCTATAATTAAGTCCAAATTAAGAAATCATGGCCGAATTTCTATCTGCTTTAAAATTACATGTCTATTATCTTGTTAGTAAAGTGAAGGATATATTTTACTATTGAATATTAACAATTGGCCTACTTTGTTGTAGATTGTGATAGGTATATTCTGCCAATAAATACAATATGGTTACCTAGAGATAGATGTGAGGAAAATAAACGATTCAGGTGCAGAAAAGGTTATGTATCACAAGTGCAGACTATATGTAAGGGTGGTTACTGGGTTTTGGAACCAACCTGTCAAGGTAAGAATCATTTTATATAATACTTAATACATTAGATTTCGATTATTGACCTACTATACTTCTTTTACTTCATCCAATTATGCTTAATGCGATAGACAGAGACAGATTAAAAATGAAATTTTCTGTCTAGCATTGGACATTGGTATCTATTTCGGGAATAATAATTTATTGCCTGATGGCTTTAATTTACTTTGTCAGCTGTAGTGTGTCCACAAGGTGAGATTATCACTAACAGATGTAACAAAATCCAGAACATTTAATGAAGATTTCCGTTTTGACTGTTCAGTTGACTTCACTCAGAATACAACACACTACGTAAAGTTTGCTAACTCTGATATTCAGAGTATAGAGTCTTGTATCTAAAATCAAAGATGTTTTTTTAAAGGGTGTTGTGCAATAGACAGAGATTGCTTACATTTTCTGAAGACACCTGAATCTTTGATAATCTAGGATTATTGTAGACTGAATTTGAATTGATGCATGTCGACTGTCCCATTTTGATTTCACTTTACTCTCTGGGTATTGTCTGATCAATATATTTTATTAATTCAGCCGTAGAGTGTCCACAAGGTGTGAATATCACTAACTCTGATGATGTAACAGAATCTGGTATTTTTGAGGAGGTTTTTAGTTTTGACTGTTCAGTTGGTTTCACTCAGAATGGTGTGACGGGTATTCTGAGCTGTGATGAAAATGGTACCTGGACAGAACAGAAAGCTTGTCAAGGTAACAGTTTTTAAGATGTTGAATCAACTGATCTTTTTTTCAACAGACCTGTGTTATATTGCCAGCTTTAACAAAACCCCACAAATATATATTATTTAATTCTTATGTCTTCAGTTACATAAATATCATGAGTTACTTCCCTTGAAATCAAGTTTAATTAGACTTATAAACTATCTTCCTGAATTAGCTTTAGAATAATTTCACCCAACTCTACCACGCCATTCTACTGACAAATTCATTTTAACATTTTAGCTGTAGAGTGTCCACAAGGTGAGAATATCACTCTCTCTGATGGTGTAACGGAATCCAGTATTGTTGGAGGACTTTTTAATTTTAGCTGCTCTGTTGGCTTCATCGAAACTGGTACTCTGGGGTGTGAGGAAAATGGTACTTGGACAAAACAGAAAGCTTGTCAAGGTAACAGGATTTGGGTTTCTATTGTGAATAGGTACGAAGATATTTGGCAGATCCAGTGACAATTTAAAACATAAAGGAATCGTGTTAAGATCTCAATATGACGTCACTATTTTGTACAAGATTCGAGCCAAATCGTCTTTTCAATAATAAAGTAATTAATAACACTTTTTAACAACGTTTGTAAGATGCGTCAGTCAAATCATATTCTCATTTTTCGCAAACTATGAGAACCGAAAAAGGCGGACAAAAATGAAATTGTGAAAGTATTTTATTTTGAATCTTTTAAGGGGGCTCAACTCTAGCGACTCAAGTCATTCAAGTCATCTAAATTTGTCAGGCCTGTAATGGTTCTTTCTTAACGAATTCTGTCCTCTATAAACTATTGCAATAACAATACGATTTATATTTCAGTGGTACTTAAAGCAGTAGGGAATAAAGGTATACCGATGATTATATATGCATGAGAGTGTAAAGAAGAATGTGCTTAAACACCCGAGTGTGGCTTTACTCCATCAATTTATGCTTTATGCCTAGCATATAGAAACCCACTGATCTACTCCCATCAATTCACTCCAAGTCTTTCCGAATGCATCCAAAAATGTAAAGATGAACCAAGTTGTTTGACAATGTCATACAGTGGTCCTCATCTTTTTATTTGCAATTTATACAATGCTAATGTCACCACTATAAAGAATACAGATGGATTTGTGGTTTCTGACAATGAAAATGGTACCGTTGTAGATAAATCTGATTTTGATTTCGTCAATAAACCATGGGGTCACGTGGGCTGAGTAGTGACTATTAAGATTAAAATGTCGATTTGAATAAAATTATCAGTTTAAAGATTTGTCTTTTATTTTTACACATTTGGGGTTTGTAACAAGCATTTTCCATCATTCCAAAACAAGAAATATTTCATCTCTAGCAATAGAAGGTTTGAGACTGGAGTTCGATTCTGTAGCACCCAGCTGGTATGAACTCTTCCTACTTTTAAGAGACATATTCACAATTTTCGGGGCTCTTGAAATTATGGAAATAGAATATTATATTATACCTTGTTCGATTTGTTGATTTTTCTCCAATAAAGTACATTACGCGGTTTCACCGAAAACTATAATTTGATTTTACTGAAAAACCTCCTTTTCTTTCGACCAAACCTTTGTTAACGACAGACAGAATTACATCACCAATGCCTCAATGAATAGATTGTATGCTATCCAACTGATCCGCGGTACTTTTTCCCCACGCCATTTGCTGATTTACTTGATTGACCGACACGGATAATAAGGTAACGATGCAGTTCAAGATTCATAAAAATCATTACAAGTTACCTCCCTTGAACTCTAGATTTCTAACTGTTTGGGATTGTTTCATTCAAATAATAGTGTCTTCGTTTCAATTTTGCAATTTTATATCGGCTTACGACTTAAGACGAAGTTCTTAGTATTTTACATTGACTGTGGCCTGACAAGTTATCAGTAGGTCTATATTACCTTGTCTTACAAGCCTTCAGAGGGTTTATTTTATCTGGAACTACAAACAATGGGGCCATTGTAGAAAAATCTTTTTTGAATTCGTCTCTGTTATGTAAGCACAGATATTTGAATTATTTACTGTGCTTCAAAGTATTTACTACTATTTTAACAGTGGTATTTCTATATCGCTCTACAATTGATGTATTGAGCACTATTTAACAGTGGTATTTCTATATCACTCTACAATTGATGTATTGAGCACTATTTTAACAGTGGTATTTCTATATCGCTCTACAATTGATGTATTGAGCACTATTTAACAGTGGTATTTCTATATCACTCTACAATTGATGTATTGAGCACTATTTTAACAGTGGTATTTCTATATCGCTCTACAATTGATGTATTGAGCACTATTTTAACAGTGGTATTTCTATATCACTCTACACTTGATGTATTGAGCACTATTTTAACAGTGGTATTTCTATATCACTCTACAATTGATGTATTGAACACTATTTTAACAGTAGTATTTCTATATAGCTCTACAATTGATGTATTGAGAACTTTTTTAAGAGTGGTATTTCTATATCGCTCTACAATTGATGTCTTGAGCATTATTTTAACAGTGGTATTTCTAAATCGCTCTACAAATTGATGTATAGAGCACTATTTTAACAGTGGTATTTCTATATCGCTCTACAATTGATGTATTGACACTATTTTAACAGTGGTATTTCTATATCGCTCTATTGAACACTATTTTTATACGCCCACATGAAATGGGGGGCGTATATTGCCGTCACCTCTTTCATCGGTCCGTCGGTCCGTCCGTCCGTCCACAATTGCTCGTAAACACTCTACAAGGCACAATTCTTGACTGATTTCGACGAAACTTGGTATGGTTGTTTATAATCACCCAAGGATGAACCTTATTGAAAATCAGACAAATCGAAAATATATTTACTATGAGTTATTGCCCTTGTTCTTGAAATTCTCGTAAACCCTCTAGAAGGTGCAATTCTTGACGGATTTTGATCAAACTTGGTATGAGTGTTCGTTATCGCCCAAGGATAAACCCTATCGAAAATCAGAAAAATTGAAAAATGTTTAGTATGAGTTATTGCCCTTGTTCTTGAAAACGCGTTCAATTTTGGCTTGTAAACACTCTAGAAGGCACAATTCTTGATGGATTTTGACGAAACTTGGTGTGAGTGTTTGTTATCACCCGTGGATAAAGCCTATTGAAAATGAGAAAAATCGAAAAAATATTTAGTGTGAGTTATTGCCCTTGATCTTGAAAACTCGTCCAATTTGTAGCTCATAAAAACTCTAGAAGGCATGATTCTTGCCGAATTTTGACAAAACTTGGTTTTATTATTCATAACCGCGCTGAAGATTGAATAATTGTCCTCTAGAGTTTTCACGAGCTAAAGATTGAACACCTTTTCAAGAACAAGGGCAATAACTCATACTCAATATTATTCAGTATCGCCCTAAAGAGTTCAAAAGTGTATGACTGAAGGTTGAATATTTCATACTGGTGATTGTTACTGTACTGCTAAATATTTATGTTCAAAATCAAAGCTGCCAGTGGGCGTATATTACCTTGCCTGGCAAGCTATCTTTATATACGTTGTCGTTGACACTATTTTCTCCACATTGCTCATATTTTATTAATATTGACAGAACTTCAAGGGTCTGTGATTTTTACCAGTTTGAAAGCTTGTGAGAAAGAGAGCATGTACAGGCGATTTCAGATAAATTTCCAACATTGAACTGAAAGAATGCAAATTATGAAAACTCTCTCGACAGGAGTTTTCACAAGAGCAGAATATTCTTACCTGTTTGAAAGCTTTACAGAATAATTGTACAGGGCAAGTTTAACAGGAAATGGATTCCGGAGTACCTAGTTAACCTAGTGGCACCTAGTTCCATCATGGACTGATTGAAGTCTCCAAGACGGTCTGCTTAAACCAATGTATTAGCATGATTCCTGAAAATAGTTGAAGGAAACATAAATGAACTAAAGCCAAGTATGATCTGTCCTGCATCAAAAATATCAAAATTGCATAAAAAGAAAATACAAAAAATCTGATCAAAATTTTCGAATTTTCCTCAAAAAGTGTCCTATGATTTATGTATATCTATGTAATGCGTATCTATACAATCAAAAACGTCGTAAATTATACCTGAAAATATTTCTACAGTATGCTATGTATGTATATTATCAAACTAAATTCATTTTAAAAGCGTTTATTAAAAACAGAGAGTACTAATTGTTAATTAAGCAGTGTAAGGGTTTTATTGAGACGAGTCTCAATGAAAGCACTGGCCTAGGTCACAGGGCAATAGATAAGTCTATTAATTATGTGAAAATTTGTTAGTCATTAGTATGATTTTAGTTGAAAAGACACACACACAAACATACACTGCATGTTATATAATATACTGTATATAGCAGTGTGACCTAGTTTCGGTGTTTGGCTTTATAATGGCTTGATATTATTAGTTGAAACCTTTAGAATACGTAGGAGACATATTTCTCTACAATTAGGCGTATATTTTACTTAAATTTATACTATAGTTTTCTAACTTCTGTCGTCTTTTAGATATTTTTATTTAAAACTTTTAGATTCGGACACATTTCTCTGGGTTTTGAGCAAAATATTTTGAGACCTACAAAGGAGCAGAATGTCCCTTTTTAAATTAAACCCTGGCTGGTCTAAAACTAAACTTGCAGTAACCTCATCTTCACAATGTCACAACTGGTACTTATATCTTAACTCTAATAGTTACCAGCGAATACAACCAGTCGGAGCCCTCTACAGAAAGGCCCCTCACTGTATTCGCTATTGTACACCATTTTAAGCTTCTGTTCACGTACCTTAATCCATTTATTATAGTAATTTATGACAGTAGCAACTTGAGTCTGCTGTAACATAATTTCTGATACCCATACTGAAAATAAATTACCTAAGACTTTATTTCACCATTATAGATACTCAACCGGGTTAAGCTGCAATTACATGTGTACTAATTTCTTTACATTAAAAAATATAATATGACATAGTTTGACAAATCATCCACCCTCAAGGATTAATATTTCCGAGTTAAAAGATAACTTGCCAGGCAAGGAAATATACGCCCACTGGCAGCTTTGATTTTGAATAATAATAATTGGCAGTACAGTTACAATCACCCGTATGAAATATTCAACCTTCAGTCATCCATGGGCGATAATAAACAATTTCATCAAATTTTGCAAAATTCGTCTAGAATTGCGCCAATTAGGGTGTTTACGAGCATTTCTAGAACAACGCAATAACTAATACTAAATATTTTTCAATTTGTCTGATTTTCGTTAGGGTTCATCCTAGCGTAATTGCAAACACTCATACCAAGTTTCGGCAAAATCCGTCAAGAAATGTGTGTTCTAGAGTGTTTACGAGCAATTGTGTACGGACGGACGACAATATACACCCCGTCTCATGTCAAAATTTGTCAAGAAAACAATTCTGTTTTAGAATGTTTCAGATTTTTTTGATTTTCGATAGGTTTCATCCTTGATGAATGTTTTGATTTTCAATAAGGTTCAGAGTGTTAAGAATGTACCCCCTCCAAGCCCCTCCCCCCCCCCCCCCCCC